AACATTTTTATTATTATTTTTTATTATTAAGGAATTTTCTCTTAATAATTGTGATGAAAAAATAAATGTATGTCTTTGACAATGGGCTTCACAATTCCATCTTATTGAGAAGTCTGCCCACCCCACTCAGGGTCCTCTGCGTGTGGAACTGTAGGTATTTTCATGAAACAAGCTCACAGGACATAGGTAGAATCTCACATCTACCTTCCTCTACACAAGAATTCCAGTTCCAACAACTTCCTATCCACCTGAGTCATTTTGCAGTTAAAATAACATACATCCCAGCAATATAATTATTATGATTTGTATGCTCATTCTTTTGGAATCTAGGAAAACAGTCCATATTAGCCTTTCAATGTTAGTGGTAATAAACTAAATTTCTGAGTAACATACAGACTCATGGGAGATTGCTTCCTTTAGGCTTTGGCTCCTGCTACTACACCAAGATGCCGTTTCCCAGGCCCACGGGACTGAAATGACTAAAGCCAAAGACCAGTCCTCACAAGCAGCATTTAACGCAGTTTCTCACTCCTGCCTGCCCACAACGTTCTGTTCACTCCATTCCCACATCATCCTACTTGACTGGTTTTCTTTCTGCTGCTTTGGTTGCTTGTTCTTGGTGTTATTGCCCCAACTTTGAATTTCTGAGTGCCCAGAGTCAACCTCTGAGAGCCAACAACTACTTCCGGCAGCGCCTGGAGCCCAGAGCCCTCAGCCTTTGAGTGCTCTCCGGCCCAGCTTAAGGATCTGGGGACCTGCAGCGCCCAGATCCCTGACTGTGGCTCCCACTCCAGCCACCTGCCTGCCAACCCCCGCCTGCAGCGTCCCTCCTGCTGTCGTTCTGCCTTGGGTTCATATGCCCAACGGCCTCTGATGCTACATCCTAAACCTCAGTGTGGTCATCTGTAACATGATTGCTATTCATTTGTAAATGTACCATGATGTATATGTGCAGAATACGTAATATAATGCATATGAAACACTAAGCACTGTGCTTGGCTCAGATTCAAGTATTCAAAAACTGTATATATTGTTTTCATAAATCTTCAATTTCAGACATCATTGTGAGAATCAGAAAATATTAAATCAGAAGGGATTTGTTGTTGTTGTTATGTGCCGTCAAGTCAGACCTGACTCATAGCAAACCCTCCTTGGGTTTCTGAGGCAGTATCACTACGGAAGTAGATTGCCCAACCTTCCTTCAGAGGAGTGGCTGGTGGTTTTGAACCGCCAGCCTTCTGGTTCATTATCTAATATTACATGTATCTCACTTATTTAACTGATTTCCCTTCTCTTTCACTAAAATGTGCTCTTTCCCATCTACTTGTTTTCATTTGTTTGTTATTGTTGTAAAAATATGGATAACATAAAAATATGGATTTAACACTTTTCAGGTGTACCTTTCGGTGACACAAATTACATAATCATGCAAAACTATCACCAATATCCATTGTCAAATTGTCCACCACCAAGAGCAGAAACTCAATTCTTTTTAAGCGATAATTTCTCCTCCTCCCTCCCCTGCTAACCACTCTTAAAACAGTTGTCTATTCTAAGAACATATATCAGTTCAGTGCTTATCTCAGGGTTTTGATTTGTAAGTTTATTATGAGATTATGAAAGCTGTTCATTTTACATAAATCACCTAACACAAATTGTGAACAATTTTATGGCTGGACAAAATCTTTGAAAACATGGGATCCATGAGAACAAAGTGGGTTCCTGTGGAAAACAAAAAATGCCTGGATTCAATCTCAGTCTTCATCTCTTCTGATTTTATGTTATCTGATTTTCATGTGCATTGCAGAATTTGATAATTTATGAAAATAATATATACCATTTTTGAATACTGGAATCTGAGCCAAACACAGTCCTGAGTGTTTCATATGCATTATATTATTTATTCCTCACAACATACATTATGGGTGGGTTAAGAGATTAATAAAAATCACATTACAGATGATCAAACTGAGGTTTAAGAAGTAGTGCCTAAGGCATATGGCTGCCAACCAGAAGGCTGGTGGTTCAAATCCACCAGCCACTCCTCAGAAAGAAGGTTGGGCAATCTACTTCCGTAGTGATACTGCCTTGGAAACCCAAGGCAGGGTCGCTATGAGTGGGATCCAACTCCACAGCAGTAAGTTTGGTTCTGTTGTTATTAGTCAAAATGCTCAGTGGTGCTGTCTTACTCCAGAGACCTGGTACTTAACTACCCTGTCCCCTCCTCAGGTTTGATATTAGGTTAGTAAGGACTAGTGGACACCATGGATCTCTCTCTCTCTTTTTGTTCATAATAATTTAACTCAAAACTAACAGGAAATGCAATGAGATGCAGATGTGGTCACAGGTGGGTACCTCATGTAGAGCAGGAAAATGTTTCCTAGCACTGCCCTTGAGTCAATTCTCAGCAAGTAGTGTTCCTAGTGAAATGCCAATCGTCTGCTGGCAGATTCCGAATCTCTTACACTCATGTAGAGTAAGAAAATGTTTCCTAGCACTGCCCTTGAGTCAATTCTCAGCAAACAGTTTCTAGTGAAATGCAAATCATCTGCTGGCAGGTTCCAAATCTCTTACACTTATAGCCAACCCTGATTATGAGCCTAGAAATGTTCTCGTTCACCCCCTCCCAGGGTCAGATCACTTACCTGTAACTCTCAACTCTCTTACCTACAGTCAGAACCAATGAAGGTCACACTGTGGGTGTAGGAAATTTATACCTTCTCAGGCTCCCCAGTGCATTTGATTCTCTAAGTGTCTCAGGGACCCACAGCTTTGAAAATGTAATTAACTCAAGAATGCTTAGGCTTTATTCAGAATCTTACTCCATGCAAAGAATAAAATAATGGTGATAATTACTATGTATTGAGAAGTTGCTCTGTGCAAATACCTTTCAGGGACTTTACTGATTTGTCAAATAATTCTATGAAGTGATCATTGCAGTTCCCATTACAGACAAGAGAATAGATGCAGAACAGTTCCTAAACTTGCCTAGGGTAAACTCAGAAGTAAGTGCCCCATGTGGGAGGACATGGTTGACCAAAAATTCTATAATTTGCATGTTCCTTGTATAAAAACACAGTAATCATAGATTATATTTTATATGGCTAGAGTAATAATTTTAAAATGAATTATCTTTATTTTTGGTTTGGATAAATAAGCAGACATTTTGTACAACTGTTAGAATTAGCTATTAGTTCTTTTACCCAATAACTCTGCTTTGGATTTTAAGCAGTATTTGTATTCTGTACTGTTTAATACTCTCAGTTTGTATGTAAAAATTAAGCTGCCAGGATACATAAAATCTATTTCTCAATGGTATCGTGATTCAAGGGAGGAAATTAGGACTACTAGAACCCTAATGGAAGGTTGGGCAATCCTACTTGTGTAGTGATACTGCCTCGGAAACCCAAGGAGGGGTCGCTATGAGTCGGGTTTGACTCGACGGCACATAACAACAACAACAACAACAACAGAACCCTAACGTATCATCTGTGTAATTTGAACATTAAGTTTGTTCTTGTATGTGAACTGATGATTATATTTATCCTACAGTATTGTTTATAAGAAGGTAAAATTTTTGTTTGTTGTATGAAAGGGAGCTCTGGTGGTGCAGTACCTAAGACATTTGACTGCTAACCAGAAGGCTGTCAGTTCAAACCCACCACCCACTCCTCAGAAGGAAGAATGGGCAATCTACTTCTGTAGAGATACCACCTTGGAAACTCAAGGAGGGGTCACTATGAGTCAAAATGAATCAATGGCAGTGAATTTTTTTTTTTTTTTTTTTGGATGGGAAAGTATTTCAGAGTATGATGCATTAAAACATTCTTTTAAAGCAAAGAACAAAAACATACTAAGATCATAATGGAACCACATTTGGGGTGAGATACCCTGAAATAACAGTGACAATGAAAAAAAGATAATGGATTGTTTAGTACTTTAAACACCCTCTGGCACATGATAAGCCCTTGGTAAACCAAAACCAAACTGGTTGCCATTCATTGATTCCAACTCACGGCAATCGATGAGCTGCAGAGCAGAACGGGGCTCCAAGGGGTTTTCAGG